CCAATCACCACTCTCTCCCCTCTGGGAATACTCTCCATCACCTCATCTAACTCACTCCAGAATCTCTCCTTCTCTTCTAACTCACACCCTACTTGTGGAGCATAACCACTGACTACATTCAACATTACCCCTTCCATTTCCAACTTCAAACTGATCACCCTGTCTGACACTCTTTTCACCTCTAAAACATTCCTCACGAGCTCCTTCTTCAGGATCACTCCTACTCCATTTCTCTTCCTATCCACACCATAATAAAACAGTTTGTATCCCCCTCCAATGCTATGCGCTTTGCTACCCTTCCATCTGGTCTCCTGCACACACAGTATATCTACCTTCCTTCTCTCCATCAGGTCCGCCAGCTCTCTACCTTTCCCTGTCATTGTGCCAATGTTAAGAGTCCCTATTCTCAGACCTATACTCCTGCCTTTCCTCTTCTCTCTCTGTCAAGGATGCAATGTATAATATATTTAAGTTGAGGTTCAGTGTTCTTATTACTAATGACGGGACAAATTAATTTCTCTTTAACAGAAACACCTCATGCAAGGTTGTGTTATTCTAGCATATGAGAACTGTAAGGCTGCAACTAACAACTATGTTCATTATCACTGTGTCTGGTAGTTATTTTGTTTAGTAGTTGAGTGTTCAGTGTAAATAGAATGTGAAAAATCAATCAGTATTCAATTCAATATTGATCGGCCAACAATCAAAAATACAAAGATGTTGAGATCGATGTTATAAAGAACTGAAAAACTAGCTAATATTCACATTTGAGTGGCTCTCATTTTGCTTAAATAACTGTAAAATCATGGATCAAACTGCTTGTGGTCTTTAGGTTGAACGTGTAGTTACAGCTTGTGGCCGCTAGATGTCGATCGCCACTGAGTTTCAGTCAGCGCGCGCGCCCTTGTTAAAGTACACATGCACATACTGCAGCGCGTTCACGAGAGCTCGCCTGACTAACTTCCAGGGCAGTAGTGGGAACTTGTGACTGTGAGAAGAAGAAGAAGATCCAGATTTCGTCGAGTCAAGGAGTTCATCAAACGTTAACGTGACACAGGCCGAAGCCGGGCAGCCACTATGGACGATCTGGGTAAGTCATGAAGTTTTTTTTAAAGGCTCCGTGTTTACCAACTCCTCTCAGAAAGCAGCGAGTAGCAGGGTGGAGGAGAGAACGTTACGACCAGATTTTATGCAAAAACAGTTTCTGGGCCTGTGTAGTCACCTTTCTCTGGAAAAGCTAGCAAATAATGACCAGAAATCCTACAGTACAGAGTGACTGAGTACATGTTTGGCGCATTTCACATTTTACCCACTTTGTTCTGTGTAAGCATCGTATTAACTCAGCGGCTGGACCTCACTAGTCTTCACTACCACCACCTCCTTTTCACCTCTCCCTCTGTAGTAACGTTATGTGTTGGTAATAATGAGCTACCTTCTTATTTAGATCTACTTGTTTTGATCAAAATGCGTGTCAGAGGGAGGAGATATTTATCTGACATTCTGACACCGAAGTTGAACATTACCTCCTCAACTTTAACCCCCGGGCTACTCATTCCAGCTTTGAAGTGGTGGAGTTAAACAGGCCTCACAGTTTAGACTCTCGGCACAGTGAAGTCAGATCTGGTTTACAGTGTGTCTCCAGTTTGATGGAGTTGACGGAACTGATAGTTAGGCCAGATTACTGATCCCTTTTGTTGTCTCTCCTATTGTAAGCCTTGGCAGAGGAGCCACATTCTACTTGATTGTAGGTAGGAAGTGAAACAGCATAGGTCTCCTGACCTTGTGTTGTTATCCTGTTGATGTCTGTGTAGGACAGATTTTATATACTCGACTGGTGTAGCCACCCCAGTATCTGTGTATGGCCACGAATGCTTTACAGACCTTGAATAGGTGGAGCTGCCGAGTTTGTTGAAGCCCTGCTGCTGCACATTTGCTTCAACAAGCTCTGGTCTACCAGTTAAACCCCTGTCCAAAATTCCCTGGCTTATTGTTATTATTACTACACAACAGTCAGATTATTGAAAAAGACCATAACCTCTGAGCATGCTTGCCCCAGTTGCTTTTGCAGGATCAGCAAGATGTAATAACATTTCGATGGTGGCTTGTTTTAATATTCAAATTCTTTTTACATCACTGATTGCTGATGCTCAAGTTGATTTGATTGTGCTATTATGTTTGTTTTTGAGGCATTGCCGTTTACCAAGACCTGTAAGTTAGGGTTGCAACTAAATCATACTTTTTAACCTTTGCACGGGGGAGGTTATGCACTTGCCGGCATATGTTGGGGCGTTTGTTTCTTTGCTAACGGCATAACTGAAAAAGTATGGAATGGATTTGGAAGACATTTCTTTAAGAGGTAGAGTATGGCCCATAGAACAATTTGGTTAGATTTTGGTCCTGATCCTTATCATAAATTGAATACAGGAATAATTTTAAAGGATTCTTCACCAGTGTGAATGTTGGAAAGGCTGTTGACTGCATGTAAGCCCCCTTGTGGCCAATGTGCATGGCTGTGCACATATGGGGACAAATCCCTGGGTTAGTAACAGCTGCCCATTCATT